ATATTTCTAACTATTTCCTTGCAAAATAATCTTATACTTTTTCAATCCAATATTTTTCCTTTAATTTTAGTTCAGATCGAAAAATTGGGACCATAAAATTTGGATCAGATTGCCTCCATTTCTAAAAGAGCTTACATCGGTCTATGATCTCTTGATAAGAATTGGATAAAATAAATTCGATGCAAGGCTCTTCTACTCTACATTAATAAAATACCATTGAATGAATAATTATTTTTATATTTTTAAGCGATAAAAAGAAAAATATACAAAAAAGATAGGGACTTTTTTTTGTAATGAAATTTAAAAAATAATTATAATATTGTTATTATTAATCATTACAAAATAATGGATTTAAAGACGTTCGAAAAATATTTTAGAAATAATATTATAGATCATTTAAATTATAGTATTAGTAAAGTACCTAATAAGATATATACTTATTAATTTCTTCAGTGTATAAAAATTGTTTTTCAAATGCCAAAAAAAATAAACAATTTTTTATGAAAATCACGATGTAAGATAAGTAGAAAAATAATAATTGCGAATTCATAGTTAGAACCCACAGGGCATGCTTGCCCATTAATAACTCACATTCAATTCATATATGAAATATCCTTATCATTTGGTTAATAAAATTTGCAATATCTATGATGTTAATAACTTTTGAAAAAAAATAACAATACATAATTAACCCTAAAAGAGGCAATCATTGGGGATATTATTTTTGATTATTTAGTGGGGCAAATAGGATAAAATAGTTAGATATAGGATTTCATATGTATATCTCTCAAAAGGAGGAAAAAATGATAATAAAATTAAACATGATAATTCTTCCTACAAGAGGACATTATACATTTATGTATAAGCATATTTTCTATAAAACCTTTTATAATAATTATCCTTAGAGTTTTATTAAACCTATTCAGCATATTTTAAATTTCTATGTTTTAAGTTATTATCATCAGGTCTAGATGTCTGAACAGGAATTATTAATTTTAATACGATATAAAAGTCCTCCTTTTATTACACGTTAATATATTTAATTAAATCAATTTTATAATTATTATTCTTAAATTATTTTAATTTTAAAAAAATTAAATGAATGCATGAATAATATTGTATAAATGTAAATTTTTTGTACTGTCGCATGTTTAGGATATGGAGGAAGCATTTAATCCAGTATCAATTTTTAAAAAATATATAAAAATTAACAATAAATTTTACATAATAATTACAATGTTATTTAATTGGATTTGGCAACCAATTTGTCTGTGAGATTGCTGGCATTGACGTATTTATGATGGATGAAGAGAAGTGCTAGCCTATTTACTTTTTTTAAGACTCGAAATTTTTTTACCCTATCATCCCTTTTGTATGCCACCAAGAATTAATAATTTTAATCCATCTCTTAGGGGGGGGGGGGATAATCATCTGATTCGAAATAAATTAAAATAAAGACTAGAATCCGAGAGAATATATATCCGAGTCAGACTGACCCGAGTTCCAGGACACTAAAAAGAATATATATTATAGATTAATTTTTGAATAACTGAAAACCAAACATTTACGTAAATATATTGTTTTTCCTACCCCTACTGTGTATGCAAGAGGAATTATGAGTATGATACCAATTTAAAGACGGTGGATGAAATCTAGGTTTACATTAATAAAATTTTGTTGACTTTATATTATTTGCAGTAGGAATGGTGTTTGGAAATCCCCCCTCACTTAATTCTTAGAATTATAAGATAATTTTGATTCTTTAAGATAAACAACTATTTAACTATATGAGTCATGGGTGTTTGTTTTACAAATAAATGAGTAATTATGCGTCATTTACTATTGCTTTGCTTTTTACTAGTGATTACAAAATTAAATAAGCCTTTTAAATGGGTTTCCTGGTAAAATTTATTAAATCATGATTGATTTTCGAAAAAAAAAATTCCTTTTTAGGAAATTAATTCCTAGTCTAAAAAGGTATACTAATTACGTCTTTATTTTTCAAATATTTATAAAAATTTTATAAGAATAATATCTTTAAAAAAGTTTTTAATAATGATTGTTTTATCATTTTAAAATTTATACAAATTAGTTAATATGATATGGCAACTAATTATGAAAATCCTTCCTTTTATAGATTATCAAATAAGACAACAAATTTAAGAACAGTGGATCAGATAAACTATAAAATGATTCCATCCCTCAGAAATTTTAATGGCAAAATTTTATCGTAACCCCACCCCCTCCTCAGAATTAGAGGTCCCTGACAGCATCTATATTATTATTATAATGAGACTTAAGTTTTTTTATAATCCTAGTGGATTAATAAAAATTTACAAAATTATTCCAAGATACTCTTATAATAATCCATAAAATTTATCGGGTACTTCTCCCCCTTCCGCCTACACTTATCTTCTTGCAGAGGTTAAATTTATAGGGCCAGGTTGAGATTACTATAATTTCGTCATCTTAAATAATTTTGGAATAATAAAAAATATTTTAGGCGAATAATAAATTTAAATCAGTTGCAAATTATTTGTAAACTTGTAAATCGTAAATATTCGAATTTGTTCGTTAATTTTAAAACTTGCAAATATTTGTAATGAATTTTATTGTTTAAATTAAAGCCACTTTAATCAAATATTGTATTTTCTGGCTATTGGTATTGATTTTTTTTTATCGTGATAGTGACTTTTGATTAAAATTTATGAAAACTAAATTCAAACAAATAAAAAATTGTAAAATTTTGTGATCGGAAAGAGATAAAATGGCGTTCTTCTACATCTTGTGAGTGTTTATATTTTAGGCACAAATATGAATTGAATCACATTTCTCTAAAAAAAATAAATTAGCGATTTCCAAAAGAATGGTTTTTTTTCTAATTTATATAATAATTGCATCTTACCCACAATTATGAATTTCGATTTCGCCATTTTTAAAATAAGATTTTAGCCAAAATCAAATTACATATTTCTTGGTTTGTCTAGTTTTGGCAAAAATATTAGGCTAGCCGTTTTAAAAATCCAGCCTTTTAACAAAACTACACATTATTTCAGAAAATAAATCACTACATTTTTTTTCATTACCTTGCAAATAAGAAACGCGTTAAGAAATATTTCATATTATATATAAATTTTCTCTTTATTTATTTTTTTCCTATATAGATAATAAAAATAAAATTATTTAAAGAATTAGGGAAACAGATTCGCCTAAAGCCCGATCAGCATAAGGAATCCCTTTTCTTACGGGGAAGACTCGCTATCGCCATATTCGCTCTACATTGAAAACTTTTCCATGTTTCCTTATACTTTCTTTCTTTACTTCTTCTTCTTAGTCTCTATTAAATAACTTCCTTTATAGATATCCTCTTTTTAAATCCCTTGACATTTTCCCTAAATTTCATTTCTATATTTTTCCCCTTTATTAATTTTATCTTAGAAAAAAAAAATTATATGTCATTACCTTTTGACAATATATTAAATATCAGCTATTAGTTAAATAAAGAAATAATTGCACATTAAAAAAAAATAAAATAATATATTATAAATTGTTTTTGTATCTAAAAACAATTTATTTTAAAAATTATGACGTGGAGGACGCGAGGGTTGCATTATATTTATATTTAATATACATTTTTAATTGTGAGAATTTATTTAAAATATTTAAGAATGATTTTTATTTTCAAAAAAACTTAATAAATCACCATCATCATCATAAGAATCTTCATTAAGAACTTATCGAATTTTTTTTATTTTTATCGAAAGTGAATCTGGTAGGCATGCTAATTTATTTTTAAAAAAGTCTGATTTTTGTTCGTATTTTTCAAGATATTTTCTCAAATTGAAAATAAGTTCACGTTTTTTTCCTTCACTGACCCCGAAATTTGGGGCTTTTAAAGCTACCTAGGTTGTTGATTACTACGGAATATAATATATAGTGGGTCGGAAACGACCGTATGATTCCATCTTTCAATATTATATTAAAAATGGGTCTTATTGTTTTTAGATAAACGTAGTCGTTGTTTAAAAAATTGATATGTGTTAAATTGGCAGCGTTTAGCACTAACCCAATTTTGGGTGGCTGATTTGAATTGATTGAAATCAACTTTAAAAAACTATATAATATTACTTTTCAATATTTAAATTTAATCGTTACTTTTGAAAAAAGTAACAAGGCATTGCTTTTCTTCAAAAAATGTAACGACGTTACTTTTATCGATGTTAGTATCAATAATATGAATTTCACAATAAAATATTTGATTATTCTTTGTTGTGTATGTTTACTAAATAAAATATCTGAAAATATTAGTTCAAAAAAAATCGTAGGGTGGGTAGGGGGATTAATTTGCATTACTTAATGATATATTTTTTTTAAATGCAAATTTTTTAATCATAATTAAAAATACGTTACATTAAAATTGTAAATTTCAGAAACCTACAGGCCGGGCCTGGCCAGTGTATTTTTTTTTAAATACCCTTTTTTTAATATACCTGGGCCGAGGGGGGGGGGTATATTTTAAAACTGAATATTTTAAATCTCTATAAAAATTAAATTTTTGAAAAATTCCGGGTGAGACCTGAAAATATAAATAAATCAAATCCGGGCCGGGCCGGGTCATGCAAAGGTTACTTCTGCAGGTCTCTGGTAAATATTTTGAAAGTAGTAGTTTAAATAAAATTATATTTTAAATTAAAAAAAATATTATACCCAAACGCTATGCATAAATAAGTAAAACTTAAGGTGGCAATGTTTGCAAACTAAAAAATGAAGCTTAATTAATCTTTACAATGTCATAGTTTTTGTATTAAAATAGTGATTCGAGAATATAAAATTTCCTAATTATCAAGATAGTATTCGCAGATTTAGTTTCTTCCTTTTAAGAAATCTTTTATTAAAGTTTTTAAAACAATTAAGAAATGTACAAGTTAACTTAATATTTTGTATAATATTAAATTAGTAAGAAATAAATCTACTTATTAAAATAATTAATAATAACTAACCTGTAATCTCCTTGGAATTGATATTAAGAATCTTGTTAAATTTCGGATATTATCTGGTTTTTTTAAAAATATATTATTAAAATATTTAAAACGTAACAAATTAAGAGAGCATCGTGGAGAAATCAATCAAAAAAACACATTTAATATAAGTTAGAATTAAGATGTAATTGAATAATTTATTAAATATTATGAAGTTCAATTATTAACTTTATTTTCAGAGCACTGATAATATTTTAAAAAAATCAAAAGTGTTTATTTAAACAAACTTTCCCCTTTTATTATTATCCATGCATTTTTTATTATTGCAAAAATTCAAGACGATTTTTTTAAACTATCCTATTTGCCTCCATATTAGGTATATTTGTTGTTGTAATTTTTCTAAAAAAAATCCATGTCAGCAGAATTTTTTTTTTTATTTTAAAAACTAAGTTTGTAATAATGAAAAGAAATTTTTTTATACTATATTGTTATTACCTTTATTTTATATAAAATGGAAGAGATAGTATAATAACCTAAGAAGTACAACTCTAATAAATCTTGTAAGCGAGGTAATGCTACGATTTCAATGATCGAATATCTCACTATTCGATTTATACCCCACGAATATTAATTCCTCATTATTCGAATAAAATTTCGTATTTTATCTATTATAAATATATATACATATATTAATTGCCAAAATTCTAAAACTACATAGAATGAACATAACTCCAAAATATGTTATTGTATATTCATTCATTCATTTATAAAAACAAAAAAATAATGCTTTTTTACGAATATTAGTAAATACTCTAGGTTTAAAATTATTTGATAATATTTTTAAGTAAAGTATCTAAAGTTATTTATCTATGAGTAAAAAAAAAGCAAACTCAATAAATTATAATTTGATATTATATTTTACTTATACACTTTTATATGAACCAAAAAAAATGTTTCAAAGTAAAATGCGTATAATGTAGAGAGATCCTTCCCCCACTCAAGCTAACCATTATAATATTAATAATTACAATTTAGTTATATCGATATTTCTATTTCCGCTAAAACTTTCAATAATATTTCTCAAAATGGGGGTAAATTAAATAAAACTAGACCTTAATACAAAATTATGCTAAAAAACTTTAAAATTAAAATATTAATATTTCATTTGAAATAAAAAAATTATTTGTAATTCGCGAATATCAACAGATATTATTCTTTACAAATAATAAAGAACCGAATATTATTTTTGTTCGATAAGTCCATTAATAGCTCTAAAATATATTTGAATACAGTGAACACTATTTGGGATGGATGGGGTCTTTCATATAAAATTGAGGATTAAGAAGAGTAAAGGGAAATTTACTCCTTCTGGATTCTAGATTGCTTCATAAAACAAGCTTAGATTGGTAAAAGGCTATACTAGAAACTACTCATGCACCTATTTATTATAGTTTATAGAAAAATTTACTTTAAGCTTCACCCTGATCAAAAATTTATAAAAGTTTTTAAAATTATGGGGGATAAAAAGAGCTGAAAATGATTACAATGTTTTAGCTATAACGATATAATATACCATTTTTTTCATATTTCAGTTTAATTTATTTAAAATTAAATTTACATCAAAATGATGAGGAGTTGTTCGAAAGTGTTAGAGGATTAATCAATTTTTACTATTTATTTTTCTTAGAAGAAAAATTATCATCATTAAAAAATATCTTTTTATAAAATAGTTATATTTTTAAAATCCTTTTTTATAATAATTTTAAATCCTTTCACAAATCAATGAAATATTAGATTTAAAAAAAAGTTGGGTTTCTCGGAAACTCAAATATTTCCAACTCCACTATTTAAATTGATTATAAAAAATTTTTTTTAAAAGGATCCAGGTATAAGATAAACTTAAATTCACAATTAGGAATATATGTTGATTAAAAAAAATTTTTTTTAGCATATAAATGGTTGTTGTACAACATCTGTATAATAGTTAATTTTTTCAAAAACTGAAAATTTTCTATGATTCAAATTTGTAAATCTTAAAATTATTTTTGCAATAATAAAAAAAATTTTTATTAAAAATAATGAATTAGATAAATAATTTATACTAAATTTGTAATTTAATTGGAAACTTTAAAAAAAAATTATGTAATTAGTATCTCGTTTTGAATGTATAATTATAACATGTTACTTTTAAAAAGTAACTTTTAACAATTTTTTTTGAGATCCTTGCTTTTATGTTGCTCGTCTATCAATTATCATATAATATTTATCTTATAAAAATAAAGTCAATTTTAAAATATTAAATAAGTGCAATCTGGTTCCATATTTTTATTTGTTCTAATTTAAAAATAAAAGATATATTTATTTTTTTTGGCAAAGCCATTATGAATTCCACATATTAATAAATAATAACCCATGTTTTGATTTGAGAGACATTGCATTTAAAAAAAGAAAGAAGAAAATGCAATTTTTGAAAATAACAGACGAACATTAGTAATATATTTTGGGCGATTTACTTACTTAGAGTATTAATAGAGAGCTTTGTCCTCACACCCTAATTTGCCCGGTCTGTGCTAAATTCTGGGTTAAGTGTTAATATGTAACTTATTAAATATCTTTACATCCTCTAAAGTTATTTGAAATATTGAAAGTACTATTTCTAAATGCCAATGTTAGTGACTATGTGTGCTTTCAATAAAAAGTTTTTTAAAAAAAATTAAGAAGAAAATTTTGGCCAATCCTACGATTAAAAAGTGACTGAAAGTATACCAATGTTTAGTGTTGAATGGTATATTATTTTAATCCTCATGGCGTTTGGGTGATAGCAAAAAAAAAATATTATCAATATAAGAAAAAATTGTCATAATTGTCATCCTGCCAAAATAAAAATTTTGAAGAATTAAAAATCTGGGTTTGCCTGTATCAACTCATCAATCATTTATGGAATCACAAAAATTTCTAGTTAATAACAAAATGAAAATTATGGCGTCATGCTTTAGGCGTGGTTTGAGTCAAACTTTTGGAAACTCTAAATCTAAAACTTATCGAATCATTAAATAATTTTATTTTATTTATTTATTCTTTAGCATCATGCCAGAAGGAAGAATTTATAAAATTTCTAATATTCTTTAAACAATTTCTCCAAAAACTAAGATATCACATATTAGGCGTGAGATCAGCTAACTTTTGAAAGCATTAACTATGAAGCATGTATCAGTAATTAATGCAATCTATTTGGTAGAAAGTTTGAAAGATTGGCTACAAGGGTAAAATGAAAATTAAAGACGACTGAAAGTCTGGGTGCCTCAATTTTCTAAGGCTTGATTAGTATTTATACAAATTCTTCAATCAGTTTTCGTGGTCATAAAGATAAACAAGTTTTAATCGAAATAAAAACTATAACTTTACACTTTAGCTGAGTCTTAAATATGGGATTTTAAATTGCAATTCAAAATCCATTATATTAAATTTAATAAGTTTCTCTCGGTTCAAAAAATTTTTGAAATGCATAATTCTAGGATCTTGATAGATATTATGTGTTCTTTTCCTTTTATTTAATAGATATAGAAGTAAAATATATTCACATTATATTTATAGAGTTATATTATTATTAATTTGATATGAATCTGAATCTCATATTAAGACGTAGTCCTAAGCGATTTGCTAAACTTTTAAAAATGCAATTCTAAAGCTTAGGCCAATATGTAATGCAACTGGTATATTTTTTAGTTAAATGCTTCAATCCGTTTGTAAACAGTATAAATAAAAAGGTTATCGGCAAAAATAAGAAAATTTATAAAATTGATATCTTAGCAATATAAAACCAAATATATAAAAAGCATTTTAAGGCTATTAGAATAAAATACAAAAAAAAGGATTACTCTCATCATTAAAAGAACTTTTTATCATTTTTCAAATATGAGTCTCGATGTTTAGGCGGAATCCTTGATATTTATAATTTAGTAGCGGCATTATAGAAAGTTATTCAAATCAAAATAGACTTGTGACATCTTTGGAAAATGTGATATACCAAAATAAGGTGGATTGGTTACGTTGAAATTGAAACCGATAAAAGAAAATTTTTTACACTCGAGCGCTAAGGTAAGTGATTGTTTAGTAGAATAATACAATTGAGTATATTCTAGTTTGACAATAGAAAAAATTAAACATTGATACCTTATGAATTATAGAATATTTGGGAAGCGTCCCGTTTTGCACTTTTTTTATTTTAATTTGTAGAAAATTTTCTTTCTAAGTTGATTAAAAAATTAAATGTGCCTATAATATTGTTTAATCGTAGATTTTTAGAAAAATTCTGAGACGATTTTATAGAAATAGTAAATAAGGAGAAGGTTATATCAATTTGAAGAAGCGATAGAATATTTTTATCTTAGATATAATGTATCAAAAAACAAAATTTTAAATCAAGAATTAATAAAATGTTGGCAGAGGGTATAAACATAAGCTAAAATCTTATGACATAAATCCTTTTTAATTATATTATCCAAAAAAGCCAATTTTAACTTTAAAACACTGATTACTAAATTAGATCTACCTGATAGTATTTATCCGGGTATACAGGATTATATCCGTTCTACCAAATCGAAGACAAAACAGAATGGATGTGATGCTCTCGCAGAATATAATTAAAGAGAAAATGACTAAAAATTTCTATTATTTTTCGCTACTATTGTTCACATGTTGTATTTGTTGGTATGTTTTTCAGAGATCTGCAGGATACTCGGGCCGGGCCCAAAATTTTTTTTAAAAAACACCCCGGCCGGACCTGAATTTTTTTAAAAAAACGCCCAAACCTGGCTGTATTTTTTAAAACAGCCTATATTTGAAATCGTTATTATTAGCTATAAAAATCAAAAATAAATATAATTTATTTTTAAAAAATCCGGGCCGGGCCTGAAAATTTTATTTTAAAAAAAGCCGGGCCGAGCCTAGGCTTCATAGATACTTTAACATCTTCATAATAAAAATCTAACAAATATTATTTTTTTCTATCACCATCTGAAAAAGGTTGGGAAGGCTTTTGTGGAAGTAATATTTGCAGATGTAAGTGTTGCAT